ACTCACACAATAAATCTACTCTAAAACTCCCACCTTTTGAGCTTTCTCAGCCTTTCAATACTGTGTCAAGACAGTTCTAGCACTTCCACTTCAACTACTGTAGTCTATCACTGAGTTTAAGCTTCAAGGAGGCATCTCCTGATTAGTACTGGCTCTGAATGTCCTCTCTAGGACACTGAACCCCAAGACAGAGATGAGTGCTCCATTCCAATAAATTCTCCTCTATCATGCCACATGTTCCACAGTCTCCTCTTCACCCAAGATTTACTCCATGTGTTCTGCCAGTTCCAGCTGGATCATATTAGTTAGGTCATGCAATTCTTACCACGTAAATTATTTCCTCCTAGAGCAAGAACTACGTGTCTCTCTGCTTGAGCTGTATTGAGGCCCAACCTTCGTTATCTCCCTGGAGATAAAAAAGGGGTGGCAGGGGAGGTAGTTGGTAAGGACAGTGACATATTTTGAGATATATTTCTCATGTGAGTTTTTTGCAGAGTTTCCATGCAAGGAAAGGCTGCTTTCCTCTAGCAAGGGGAGCAGGATTGCTTCTGCTGACCTGGGATGTTCAGATAAATCTGGGGGTCAAAATTCTCAGATTTATGCCCCCAAATGTCTCATTTCAGGTCTTTGAGTCTTGTTCTTTTCCTATTAGGGTCCTGAGTTTGCTGCAGGAAACCAGATGACACTACATTCAGTTTCCTTTGCAGTTCTGCCATCCTCAACCAGATCCCGTATCTGATTTTCAGCACCATCTTAAACATTGCCAAAAAGGCTCTGACTGTCACAGTAGGCCTTGAGTTGGTAATCGGCTGACCTGAGCCTTTAATTTTTTTAAGACTTCCAAGCACTAACAAATGTCAGCCAATCCTCATAATTATAATTGCCCCCACCATTCAAGGGTCATAGCTATCACATACCCTAACACTTCACTCTTTACTGCAGTCCAGTTCACCACAGGTGAGAATCTTAGTTATTTGATACTATCATTCACCAGGAATTACCAGCAATGGAGGCTCTCTCTCTCTCTTTTTTTTTTTCCCCATCCTGACAGTCTTCCTTCTAGTCTGAAACCAATTGTTTTAGCCAGGGACTCCCCAAAGCAAAGTCTGAGTCAAATGTTTGCGTGCAGGTAGTTTATTTGGAAATGTGATGCAGAGAGCAGGTATGCAGAGCAAGAAGAGTGGGACAGGGAAGAAAGGGAAGGTGATATAAAGATGCGTCATTCAGTTGGCTACCACTAGAGGTGGCTGGTGCTCAATCCCACAGAACCTTCTGAGAAGGCTTGTGAAATGGATCTTAGAACCACCAACAAAGGGGGGATGCAAAGGGGAAAGTTCATCTATTGATTCCCGACCCCTATTGGACAAGAGTGGCCCCACTATTGTTAACTCCCTGTCTTAGTCAATCCAGATTGCTGTAACCAAGTACCATAGGTTGGGTGGCTTATAAAAAACAGAAATTTATTTTTCACAGTTCTGGAGGCTAGAAGTCTGAGATCAGGGTGCCAGCTTTGTTGGGCTCTGGTGAAGGCCCTCTTCCAGTTGCAGACTGCTGACTTCTTGTATTTACACATGGTGAAAGGAAGGTGAGAGAGCTTTCTGGGGTCCCTTTTATAAGAGTACTAATCCCATTCATGAAGGTCCCATCCTCATGTCCTAATCACCTCCCTAAGGTCCCCACCTCCCTAGGTCCCACCTCCTAATACCATCATAATGGTGGGGCCACAAACATTCAATTCATAACACCCCCATGCTTCCAGGTTACACATGCATGAGTCTTTATATGTTCTTGCAAAGAAGCCCTAGGGCAAGAAATTGGAAATGCATAGTACAGATTCCAAGGTGAGTCACTCTCAGGTTGTATCTGTACTATGCTAGTTAAAACTTGTATGAAATTGCTACCAGGGCACTGGCTGGATAAAGAGGTAGGACCCAGAGAATTTACAGAATATGTCTGTTGCAACATGTGACAGTGCCCTTCGGACATCCTCATGACAATGTCTCAGGGAGGTCGCAAAGGGGCCTGGAAGAAGGAAGATGGTTGGTATGCCTGGTCAGCATTCCCCCAGTGTCCTCCTCCTCCCATCTTTCCCCTCACAGTGAGGCTGAGAAACAGTTAATTACTGCTCCTCTTCCTTCTTACTAGAATGTATATATCTTAGAGCTTCTAGGTTTTGCCATTCCTTCCTTTCTAGGCCTCTCTAATTGCTCTGGAGCTAAGAGAAAGACCCGGAGAAAAATCTCTGAGAGGAGCCTCAGTCACAAGGATACTAAAGGATATGCATCAATAGCCAGATGAAGAGATACATAGGACGAGGTCCCGATCAAAGGAGGTTCTGATCTGGTGGAGTTTGGGGCCCAGCATGGTGTCACATGGAAGCTCTCAGAAAACTGACCAAGGAGTTGTCCTTCTGGGTATCTATGCAGGGTTTGTCACATAGTCAAGATTGACTAAGCCATTGGTGATTAGGAATTGAACTCAACCTCCAGCCCCTCTCTCCTCCCAGAGGTTGGAGTAGGGGAACTGACAATTTCAAACCTCTAATTATATGGTTGGTTTTTCTGGTAACTGGCCCCTACACTTGGGTGGGCACAGTTACCCACCCATCATCAACATAAGAATCACCATCATCAACATAGCAAAAGATACCTAGGTCCTTCTCAACACTTAGGAATTTCCAAGGATTTGGAGAGCTGTGAGCCAGAAACTGTTAATGAAGACCAAATACATTATAAATCACAATATTGCAGTGTAAACTCAAATTAATTTTAGACTGTAATGAAGAATAAAAAAATTAAAAAGCATTTATTTGAGCAAAAAGCTGCAGCCCCGTAGACAGAGATTCAAGTAGCAACTTAGATTGTACTCCCCTAAGACAAAGGAGAAGTCACCCTTTATAGGGAATTTTCCCACTCACTGTTCCCATTTTGGTCTGTTTCATGTAAATGAAGTTTCCAAATTACACAGTTCTGACTGGCTTAAATCTTGTAGTTCTGATTGGTAGGTATAGATGCAAATGAGGATAATTTGCATAGTTCTAATTGTATGGGGCAGGTCTCAGTCCATTGACCAAAACACAAAACCAGGTCTTCCCTGCAGTGGTTGATTCAAATGCCCTAAACAAACAAGGCTTATTTCAGAAACCTGAGCTGTTTGAGTTTCTTCCTGACCCCATCAGCAAATGGTTCTTATTTATAACATTTGGGCCTTCAGGTGACTATGGGAAGTCTTCAGCATTTTGGGTTGGCCAAAAAGTATGTCTAGTTTTTTCCATAAGATGTCTCTAGTAGTGCTTAGTTGTCTTTAACTTCATTTGAAACAATTTTGTTAAACTGTATTGTGACAGCTGTCATATCATTGTGCATTTAAGAAAAACATTGAGATTGGTGAATTTTTGTGCAGCCATTTTAATATTGAAGATGGAAAAATATGTAACATTTTTGGCATATTATGCTTTATTCTCTCAAAAAAGGTAAAAACGTAAGTGAAAAGCAAAAAAGGATTTGTGCGGGGTATGGAGAAGGTGATGTGACTGATCGAACGTGTCAAAAGTAGTTTGCAAAGTTTCTTGGTATTATTGACATTTTGGCCAAATAATTCTTTGCTGTGGGGTTGTCTTATGCATTGGAAGATGTTTAGCAGCACCCCTGGCCTCTACCCACTAGAAGCCAATAGTGGGAGATAGCCGACATAATCAAAGTATCCAAACAAATCAATAAAGTTATTGGTGAAAATGAAAAATATGTCTTTTATTTTGTGGATAAACCATACTGGACTTTTTGGCCAACCCAATAAATTCCTTCCTGGGGCTTCACATCAAAAAAATCTTTTTTTCTTGGGGTTTACAGAAGGCAGGTCCTTCCTTCCTTGCACTGAAGCCTAATTTCCAGTGATAGGATAAAAACCAAGGGGATAATAAAGTCCCACAGGTAAAGATACCATAAAGCAGACAGTATGGGCAAAAGGACCCAGGCAGTAGGTTTCATGAGCCAGGCAGGTGAGGGGTGCACCCAACCCAAGGTCTAGTGTTTGGTGCCAAACAGAGTACTTACTTAAAAAGTCTAAAGTTGAGTATTTTTAATTTTAATTTTTAATGAAGTGCAACACTATAATAAAGTGCAACCATTCTGTGATTTCAGGTTTGACTGGTTTGTCCTGTAGGCAGGTTTAATCATGAACAAACATCTTTGCTCAAGAGGGTAGGTGACAACGAACCTTTGTTTCCCTGAGGTTCTGAGACTCTTAGAGCTAGAGAAGGTCTCCAAGTTCCTCAAACTTTGGCATGCCTCAGACCCACCCAGAGGGCTTGTTAAATTGCAGACTGCTGGGCCTGAAACCAAGAGTCCTTATGACTTCGAGTAAATTTAGCTTTAAATTGTAGCTCTAGAAATCATGTCTCTTTCTCTACCTATATCTATACCCCTCAGAGACCTAGCCTTTCCCCCAGGCAATCAGCAGCACCCAAGGCAGAAGAAAACAATATCTGGGGCCTAACTAGTGGTCACACAATCTGGACCTCTGACAGGCTAAAGATAACATCTCAGCCTAAGCTGTTTCAGCTCCTGAGCCCAAAGGTAGAATGACCTCCTTGCTACTTTCCTACAAAACCAGACAGAGGGACTGGAACACACTTCAGAGCTGTCCTCAAGACCCGAAGAAATGATTTATCCTTCTTACATCACCTCTGACCAATCAGTTCCCAGCACTTTCCTGAACTCCTACCCCACTGTGTCTTGTGATTTTGCCCTGTATAATCTGTATCCTACATGCCATCAGGGAGTTCAGGCTTTTGAGCATTAGCATCCCATTCTCCCAGGTGGAGCCATTCATAAGAAAATAGTCAATATTTCTACATAGCAACACTTTAAAAAAAAATTATTGATTTTAGAGAGAGTGGGGGACAAAAAAACATTCATTTGTTGTTCCACTTATCTATGTATTCACTGACTGGTTCTTTTTTTTTAAGTATATTTTATTGATTATGTGACTTGTGTTCGCAGCTGCCGTTGCTCTCTAATGACAGCACCTCCTCCAGCTCGCCAAGCTCCAGCCGAAGGAGAAGGGGGTAAGTAAAGAGGTCCCTATACTGTGGCTCATACAAAGCAGAATGCCCGCAAATCCACCGGTGGTAAAGCACTGAGGAAGCAACTGGCTACCAAAGCCACTCACAAGAGTGCGCCCTCTACTGGAGGGGTGAAGAAACCTCATCGTTACAGGCCTGGTCCTGTGACACTTCATGAAATTACACATTATCGGAAGTCCACTGAACTTCTGATTCGCCAACTTCCCTAACAACATCTGGTGCAAAAAATTGGTCAGGACTTCAAAACAGATCTGCTTTTCCACAGTGCAGCTATTGGTGCTTTGCAGGACACAAGTGAAGACTATCCGGTTGGCCTTTTTGAACTCTCCAACCTGTGTGCTGTTCATGCCAAACGTGTAACAATATGCCAAAAGATACCCGGCTAGCACATCGCATACATAGAGAACGTCTTTAAGAATCCACTATGATGGGAAACATTTCATTCTTGGAAAAAAAAATCTCTTCTTCCTGTTATTGGCAGTTCTGAATGTTAGATATTTTTTCCATGGGGTCAAAATGGTACCTAAGTATATGATTACAAGTGAAAAATAGGGACAGATATCAGGTATTGGCCGTTTTCCCACTTTCATTTGTGTGTAAACATTTTTTAATATAAATGCAGGACATAAAGCATTAATGCTAGTCAAGGTGTTTCAGTGAACAAGTTTCAGCAGTTCAACTTTATAACAATGTAAATAAACCTGTTAAATTTTTCTGGACAATGCCAGCATTTGGATTTTTTAAAAAATATTTTATTTATTTATTTTTAGAGAGGGAAGGGAAGGAGAGAGAGAGAGAGAGAGAGAGTGAGAGACATCAATGTGGGGTTGCTGGGGGCCGTGGCCTGCAACCTAGGCATGTGCCCTGACTGGGAATCAAACCTGCGATGCCTGGTTTGCAGCCCGCGCTCAATCCACTGAGCTATGCCAGCCAGGGCTGGATTTTTTTTAAACAAGTAAATTTCTTACTGATGGCAACTAAATGGCGTTTGTAGCATTTTTATCATGTAGTAGATTCCATCCATTCCCTATACCTTTCTAACTGAGTTGTCCTGCATTCAAGTATGTTTTTAATGTTGTCTGTCTTCTGTGCTATTCCTGTAAGTTTGCTATTAAAATACATTAAACTATGAAAAGTATATTTTATTGATTATGCTATTACAGTTGTCCATTTTTTTCTCCCCTTTATTTCTCTCCACCCTGCATGCCCCTCCCTCCAGCCTTCCCTTCCTTAGATCATGTCCATGGGTCGTGCACATAAATTCTTTGGCTTCTTCATTTCCTATACTATTCTTAACCTCCCCCTGTCTATTGTGTACCCATCATTTATGCTTCTTATTCCCTGTACCTTTTCCTCCATTCCCTCATCCCTCCCCCACTGATAACTGATAACCCTCCATGTGATCTCCATTTCTGTGATTCTGTTCCTGTTCTAGCTGTGTGCTTAGTTTGCTTTTGTTTTCTTTTTTAAAAAGACTTTATTTTATTTAGTTTGAGAGAGAGAGAGAGAAGGGAGGGAGAAAGGGAGGAAGAGAAACATCAATGTGTGATTGCCTCTTGAGCACCCCCCACTGGGGGTTGGCCCACAACCCAGGCATGTGCCCTGACTGGGAATTGAACCGGCAACCCTTTGGTTTGCAGGCTGGCACTCAATCTGCTGAGCCATACCAGCCAGGGCTGTTTTCATTGTTCTTTTTTTTTTTTTTTTAAGTTTCAGTTGTTGATAGTTGTGAGTTGGTTCTCATTTTACTGCTCATAGTTTTGATCATCTTCTTTTTCTTAGATAAGTCCCTTTAACGTTTCATATAATAGGGGCTAGGTGATGATGAACTCCTTTAACTTGACCTTATCTGGGAAGCACTTTATCTGCCCTTCCATTCTAAATGATGGCTTTGCTGGATAAAGTAATTGTAGATTTAGGTCCTTGCCTTTCATGGCTTTGAGTACTTCTTTCCAGCCCCCTCTTGCCTTCGAGGTTTCCTTTGAGAAATCAGCTGATATTCTTATGGGAACTCCTCTATAGGTAACTGTCTCCTTTTCTCTTGCTGCTTTTAAGATTTTTCTCCTACCCTGGCTGCTGTGGCTCAGTGGATTGAGTGCTGGCCTGTGAACTAAAAGATCTAGTTCAATTCCCGGTCAGGGCACATGCCTGGGTTGTGGGCCAGGAAGTGTGTGAGAGGTAACCTATCAATGTATCTATTGTGCATTGATGTTTCTCTCTTTCTCCCTCCCTTCTCTAAAAATAAATCAATAAAATCTTTTTAAAAAAAGATTCTCTGCTTATCTTTAATTTTGGCTAATGTAATTATGATATGCCTTGGTGTGTGCTTCCTTGGGTCCAACTTCTTTGGTACTCTCTGAGCTTCCTGAACTTCCTGGAAGTCTATTTCCTTTGCCATATTGGGGAAGTTCTCCTTCACTATGTTTTCAGATAAGTTTTCCATTTCTTGCTCTTCTTCTTCTCCTTCTGGCGCCCCTATGATTCGAATGTTGGAACATTTAAAGTTGTCCTGGAGGTTCTGCACCCTGTCCTCATTTTTTTAATATTCTTTTTAAAAAAGATTTTATTTATTTATTTTTAGAGAGGGAAGGGAGGGAGATAGAGAGAGAGAGAGAAACATCAATGTGCGGTTGCTGGGGGTCATGGCCTGCAACCCAGGCATGTACCCTGACTGGGACTCGAACCTGCGACAATTTGGTTCGCAGCCTGCGCTCAATTCACTAAGCTACGCCAGCCAGGCCTTCTGTCCTCATTTTAAAAATTCTTTTGTTTTTTCATTCAGTTCTGGTTGAATGTTTATTTCTTTCTTGTGCTCCAAATCCTTGATTTGAGTTCCACTTTCCTTCCCTTCACTCTTGGTTCCCTGTATATTTTTCTTATTTCAATTTGCCTTTACTTTTTCCTCTATTTTGTGACCATACTCAACCATTTCTGTGAGCATCCTGATTACTAGTGTTTTGAACTCTGCATCTGATAGGTTTGCTATCTCTTCACCACTTAATTCTGTTTTGGGAGCTTTGATCTGTTCTTTCATTTGGGCTATATATATATTTTGTCTTGGCACACCTGTTACATTGTAAGGGGTTAAGCCTTAGGTATTTGCTAGGGCAGGGCAACCCGCTTGGCTATATTGTGGCGCTGTATGTGGGGGAGGGGTCTGAGAGGGGAATGCCACCTGCTCGGCTCTTGGCCAACTTTCAGTCACTCCTCCTGCTACCCACAAGCAAATTGGGCCCTTCTGGTGCTGATTCCTGGGCGGATGGGTTTGTGTATGTTCTAGGACCTATGGGTCTCTCCAGTGAACTCTCCTGTGAGTCTGGGAGTTTCGCCTGCTACTGCAACCCCCACAGATTTTTACAGCCAGAGGTTTTGAGGCTTTATTTCCCAGTGCTGGAACCCTGGATTGCTCAGTCTGTCTTGGTCCCCAGTTGTTCCTTTGGGTTTATCCACATGTAGATGTGGGACTGCCAGCCACTGCCTCCCCTGGCCCATACTACAGCAGCTGCCTTGCCAGGCATCCTCTCTGCCCAAGCTGCCCATTTCCGTCTCTCCTGCCGGTCTGAATGGATGTTTCTTCTTTCCCTCCTTGGTTGTCAGACTTTCACACGATTTGATTTTCTGTCAATTCTGGTTATTTTTTTGTTTTTAAATTTGTTGTTATCTTTCTTTTGGTTGTGGGAGGAAGTAAAGTGTTTCTACGAATGCCTCCATCTTGTCCAGAAGTTCCATTGGTTGATTCTTGTATGTGCCCTGACCAGAGATCAAACCCACAACCATGGTATGTTAGAATGATGTTCTAACCAACTGAGCTACCTGGCCAAGTCCTCTTCACTGCAATTCTTTGTGTTTAATGTTTAGCTCTGCTAATGCCAGGTAACAAGCCCTGTTCCTGTGTGGTAACAGGCCCTGTTAGCAGATGGCAACCAGCTGGGAATGGGTCTGCTCCGGGCCAGCCTGTAGTATGTGGATTCTTGAGTTTGTGTGTAAGAAAGATCTCACAACACAGGTCCAGATGATTTTGAGAATATTTATTAAAGCTGGGGACAGTGAAACAAAGGAAGGACTTAGGGTCAAAGAAGCAACAGGAGAGAGCTTATGCGGTGCTCTGCTTTGCCTCCCCAGAAAAGTTATAGGAAAGAAGTGAGCCAAGGCAGGACTATTGTTAGCTCACTGGGAAGTAAAAGTGACAGAAGTGAGTCAAGGCTCTTGGATCACTGAAAAGTCAGAGAAAAAGGGGCCCTGGAGACAGGGTCAGAGGGTAAACCCAAGATGAGCTACAGCTGCCCCCTGCTCCCCTGGTTGCAAATCTCATGGAGACCAGTAGAGTTTAGGAGGAAGTAAAAAGTTTTTGCCTGAGAAGGGGCATAGGCATTCTCTAGAGCAGCGGTCCCCAACCTTTTTGGCACAAGGGACCAGTTTCGTGGAAGACAATTTTTTCCACAGGTTGGGGTGGGGGTGGGGGATGGCTTTTTAGCTTGCCACCAGATGCAGCTTAATTGTCGCTTGCCACTCACTGATAGGGTTCTGATATGCGTCTGCAAGCAGTTGATTCATTATGGTCTCTGTGCAGCCAAACCTCTCTGCTAATGGTAGTCTGTATTTGCAGCCACTCCCCAGTGCTAGCGTCCCCGCCTCAGCTCCACCTCAGATCATCAGGCATTAGACCTCATAAGGAGCACACAACCTAGATCCCTTGCTTGTGCAGTTCACAGTAGGGTTCGTGCTCCTATGAGTATCTAAAGCCACAGCTGATCTGACAGGAGGCAGAGTATGGGCGGTAATGCAAGTGATGAGGAGCAGCTATAAATACAGATGAAGCTTCACTTGCTCGCCTGCCGCTGACCTCCTGCTGTGCGGCCCAGTTCCTAACAGGCCTGGTCTGGGATTTGGGGGCCCCTGCTGTGGAGTGAGCCCGCACTGGTATCATTTGTCTTGAGGGTTTTATCTTTCTTCTGCAAGGTGAGAAACCCAGAGGAGGGTTT